TGAGTCCAGGCCTGGCCTGTCAATGGTGCCACTTGGCAAAGAGTCACCTGTCAAACGGTTTCCTTGAGGCTGGGACATTGGCTGCAGAGGGCAGGAGCAGTGCAGACAGGCCCCAGGAAGGCAGAGTTGCTCAGCTGGGGAAGTGCCTGCTACACAATAGGCAGCAGTTGGCTCCACCTGATCACCATCTGGCTCCGAGGCATTGGCTGCTTCCTTGCTGACCTAACAGGAGAGCCCTGGCCCTTTGCCCTGCCCCCATGCTCCTCCCCACAAAGCTGATTGGCTAGCAGAGTGTCACTCAAGGGGACAATGACTTGGCTCCCTGGGATGCAGGGAGTGGAAGAGCAGACCAGTGGGAGGGGCCTGATGGCATCACAGCTGCAGGCAGGTCACCCAGCCAGCCCCTGAGCTCAGCCCATGCGGGTGACGGACAGGTAGCTTGGAGTGAGCCACAGCAAGGCAGGGCTGTGTGTGGCCCTGTGCTGTGCCGGGGAGTTTGTGTCAGGGTGGTTGGGGGCCCTGAACTGGGTGGCTACTGGGTTTGTTGGGCTCCATACCAGGGGTGTCTCTTCTGAAGGGCAGTGCTTGCTCCAGGGGCTAACGCTGATCCCTAGAACACACTTTGTGCAGGAGCCATTGGTCTTTGTGCCCATGTGTGGCTGGGATCTAGGACTAATGGCCCTTCCCCACACGTACAGATCCCGCCACCCCCTGTCTGATGCTCTGTCCCACAAAAGACCCTGGAGTCCTCACTTTGCCTGTCTGGTGCATCTCAGCTTGCCCACAGGTGGGGAATTAGCTGAAGTGGTTGAGCGCTGGCCTGGCATGTGGGAGGGTGGTGGCTGGATATCTACATTCTCCAAGCTCTGGCCTGGTGTTTCTTTCCACTGCTTCTTGGCCAGTGTTGCTTGCCTGCCTCTTCCTTCTCCCACGTGTTAGCAGTAAACCTGCGCCTCAGGATCACAAACTGCTGGGAAATGGGCAGCCATGCCCCAAAAGTGCTTGTTCATCTCCCATGTGACCTACCAAACCAGCCACACAAATAAACTATTTTTCTACACTGGCTCACAAGGTGTCCGAAAAGCAGACTCCTTACGCATCCCCATCCTCGTATCCCCCGCAAACACTGAATTTACTGAGGCAGGGTTATGGAAGCCAATTTCATCAGTCAAAATTCTGCCAACCTGAGACCTGTCTCTCCTGCTCCTTCTGAGCCGGCAGGACCAGCCACATACCCAGGTTGATATATGACTCAGTTATTACGCTGTTGCCAGTCATGTAGGTAGGTAGCTAGGTAGGAAGGAAGGGGTTAAAACTGCCTAAAGGAATCAGAGATGTACAATAATGTCTTACAGCAGGGATTAACTTGCAGGCTCAGATGCGGAAAGCCCGTGAAAGTTCATCAGCTGTGACAAGAAGTGTGAAGTGTGGGCGCAGGGGTGGGTCTCTGTCTTCCACAGCATCTCACTTTTGGTAACTTTCCATTTCCCCCTTTTTGCATCACATCCCACAATCTGGTTCCATTTTCACAGGGAGACTATTGTGGCAGGATGGCCCCTGTGAAATTCCCTCTGGTTTGTGGGCATGTGCGTTGGTGTATTTTTCCTGTTTACACACATGAAAGAATGTGGCAGCCTAGCCGAAAGCAGAGGGGATTCCATGGGGGAAGAGTCTGTCCCACATGTCGAGCCTTCTGAAGTAAAGCTCAGGCAGGGCTGATTGGGCTTTCTCAGGTGCCACAATAGCCTGTGCTAATGTGTGGGTGCACATTTGGCTGGGGCTACTAAACTGCTGTGCCTCTGTCTAACCTGCTTCCCAGAGAGGGCTCCTCTGAGGCCAGAAGGACTGGGCAGGAAATGGGGGGCAGAAAAAGCAAATGAAGCTGCTGTGGAAGGCTGGTGCCCCTGGGGAGTGTTGTCCTGCTGCTCCTTCCCCTGTGAGGTGTGTGGGATGGCCGGGGGAGGGGGGGAGGAATTGGCAATATGCATTAGGCAGCTGGTGTCTAGGGAAGGTCAAGCCTCACCTGGTCCAGGCCAACTTTCAAACCTCCTCCTTAGCATGAGGGGGTGACTATTAAGCCTCCCTCTGTGGCTGGGCTCTGTAGGGTGCATTTGGGTGGACAAAAGTGGGTGGAAATAATTTGGGCCAGAGGGCAACCTGCTGGGGAAAGACAAGAGCCTCCTACCACTGGGGAAGGCCGCTCCTCAGGTTTGTCCAGGGCCCATGTCCCTTTCAGCCCCCAGGTGATGGGAGGAGCAGAGAGGGGAGGGAAAGGAAGCGGCTAGAGCCTGCCCCCTGCAAGCAGCACTCCTGGGCTATGTCTACACTCGCGGCGTCTTGCGCAAGTACAGCCGTTCCTGTGCAAGAACCCGCAGAGCGTCCACACTGCCTGCCTGCTCTTGCGCAAGGAAATGTACAGTATGGTGTGGTAAGAGAGGGCTTCTTGTGCAAGAGCTACACTCTATTTTATCAGGTGTACGCTCTCTTGTGCAAGAGGGCAGTGTGGATGCACGGCAGGGATTTCTTGTGCAAGACAGCCCTATGGCTAAAATGGTCCATCAGAGCTTTCTTGCGCAAGGGAGCATCCACACTGCTTTGTGAGCTCTTGCACAAAAGCACAGCTTGCACATGGCAGTGTGGACATTTTCTAGCACAAGACCCCTTGCGCAAGAAGCCACCAGTGTAGACAT